AGGCCGAGACAAAAGTACAAGACCCACCAATCCACTCCCGACATGATGGGACTAAGAAAAGCAGTGTCACACGACACCGAAAGATCCACTGATGGCGATTGGTGAGCTGTACATGCATGGTAGAAGTAATCGGTGTGGACATGTACACATTTATTATCCTCTTTTTTTTTTTTTTTTTTTTTTTTTTTTACTCGCTATGCGCTGAGAGCTAGCTAGATTTTGTCAATTTGAGGGAACCTGTTTGGACTCGAGCTCGGAGCTTGGTTGTTTGCCAGTGTTGGTCATCAATCGGACCTACTTGACCTTTTGCTGTTGGCCCTGGCCGGCAGACACGAGCCCGTCTTACATGCTGTTGGCCGCATCTCATGTTCGTATTGTCCTCTGGGGGTTTCCAGTTCCGGCGCCTCGGGACTGTGAATTCGCTCTGTGCATGGCTGGACCGTCCATTCATGCAGGCGCTGCCGCCGGTGCTCGTGCTGATCGTCGCGCACCCGATCAGCGTGCCGCACGCACCACGTATTGCTGCAGGCTCGTAAAGCGTCGGCCCAATCATCCGGAATCTTTTTTGGGCGTCTTTGTCCTCGGCTTTGGGCTTTCGGGCCGCGGAATCCCCCTTTTTCAGGTTGGCATGGTCGGGGCGGCATCGAGCTGGCAACCATGGCCTCAACGGCTTGGATTTGGTTTTTCGGAACCATGCGTCATTTTGCCTGGCGTGTATTTCACACGCGTCCGTCATCCATCTCTGCGTAGTCTTCCCAGGTGCCGCTCAATACAACGGCCACATGTGCGTGCGTCCTTTGCTCCAGCAGCACACGTGTACAGACTCGAAACGAGTGTCGAATAGCAGACCATATCTGCAGTCATTGCTGCACGGCTGCGGCTCACCGCAAGTAACCAAACTAGACTCGATGTATCCAGAGCTCTATTAATACTTATTATTAAAATAGAGCACAAAGTTCTAAAAAGAATTAATTATTATCAACTTATTTTTGGTCAAGGCAATCTCTAGGCACGCTCCCACTCCATGTCGACTTCGTCCACTGTAACCACTACGACGATAAGGAGGGACAAAAAAGAATTCAAGATGCTAGAGGAAAAACTAGCGTGTTACTTGTTCAGGTTGTATTATATAGAAGATAAGTAACCTCTCCATAAGCCTAAGGCTTGTAAGAGAGTAATGGAAAAAATAAAAATGAGGCCATCGCCAGTTACAGCCGTCCAGAGCACGTATATTCGAACGGACAGACTCTGACCATTTCAAAACCATGGCGTAGAGCTCGTTCTTGCTATCAACTTGGGTGGATTAAATAACCCATCGTAAAACTCTCTCTCTTCTTCTCCTGGCTTATAAGGCTCCATTTAATGAGTCTTATATAAGTATTATGTCTAGCAACACTATACACTAGCCGTACCAAGCTAAAGAATCGTAACCGTAACACACCACGTAATACACCATGAACGCTTCGCGATGCGTCAGACGCTAGCAAGATTGGCAATCCATTGCCGCGCGCTATCTAATACCAACATACTATAGTATATAGCGCGACAGCCAGGTAACTGATCTGGTAAATACATTTTGCCTCCCACTGTGGGTAGCCGGCCAGTGTATTACTAGAAGTCCAGAACTAAGCTGATAGATCGTTCGGAAACCCCGGCGCAGGGGATGTACGAGCCAGTCAGCCCAGGATAGAACCCAATGTTAGAGGGGACAGCTATAGCAGAGCTTAATGTCTACTCCGACCCATGAGTCGCGCCTCCCTTCTCTCTGAATTCTGGAGATGCCGGGCCTTGGTTCGACAGATGCTTGCCCGTAGGATTAAACTTTTCGCTAAGGTTACGACGGACCGGCGGACCGTCATATGGTTCGAGTAATATCAACGGGACGAGGCCCGCGGGTTTTGACAAGGCAAGGGCTGCGTACTGGGTCATATCGTATTGTATGAAATCATCTGCATGCATTCGCTTCCAGGCAATTTATCGGGTCCAGCGAGTTCGGACTTGAGTACGGAGTAGAGCAGCCCATGTCTGTCGGCATGCTAGGGTCCAAATTGCCGCTTCCATCTATCTGCTACATGTCTTGGCCACCTTGGCTAGTAATCCCTGCCCAGAGTCAAAACAGGGATCATGACATTGACAGACTACGCAACAGATGTGACTGCCCGGCTGGGGCGCTTGGTATTTGTGCGGGGTGCGCTCCCCAATATTTGGTTCGATTATAACTGGGTTATTTCATGTACCACTACGGAGTAGTTACATGCTTCAACATTTTGTAGTTAAAGAGCAATTAGCTTCGCGGGTCCCAACGGGCTTTGTAATCAAGGCCTCTCCCACATCCATTCCACCTACCTCTGCAATTGAAGCGGAATGCTTCTCGCCGCAACTAGGAGGGCCTTCGATGTACCCTCTCTAATTCTGAATGGCTCACCTTGACATGCCGCTGGTAGTGCGGACATAGCAACAAAGTGAACGGTCAGCGAAATGAATTCTCTTTCATCTGACAAGAATATTTCGAGAATTGTGCTCGTCGTCTGTCTCCCAGGGTTTCTGGCATGAGAATCGGTCAATTTCTGTGACATTTTCCCCAATTTTGTATCAAGGATAGTTTAGTTTGTTTTGTTTCAATCAAAACCGCGTCCTTTTCAAATCGAGAGTACGCACAGTGAAGCACTCTGGGGTTTCCCGCTTGACAACTAGCTGAAATAGCGTGCCATCAGCGTTTATGGGGTCGCCAAAAACATATGCTGTCACTTGTGAGCGCTTTGCCAAAGGGCTAGTATAGAGTGGCCTTGGAATTGGCACGCCATCATTTCGCGCGGTATTAAGTCAGAAGTTTCCGAGGTCCTGAGCTTGCTATATCACGGCCTCATTCACGAAAGAATCAAGCGACGTCAGCCTGTCACCGCAGTTACGCAGAGACCAGTAGGTCTGACACGTATCAGTTATGCGAAACAGCGGATAACTAAGTAGTATGTTTGACTCACGTCCCATGCCTCCTCTGTACCCAATTCCGCGTACTTCTGGTTCTCATATCCAAACCGTGGCGAGGTACAAGACTTTGTAAGATACATTGGCTGGAGCATCCAGATTTAGCAACCTCACATGATTGGTGAAGCATACCCAATCTTGTTCGTTTTGTGTATCCTTGGAGTCAGTAGAATACTCACGCAACGGAGCCAAACCCGGCTGTGTGATAAATCGACCTCCTGGACAATGGTCCGCTGTTTTTGCCCGACTTTCACTTTCAAAATGCCCAGGTACAACCCGCAAAGTCCGCTTCTTGTTGTGAGCTGCCCTGATGCTGCGCTAAGACCAAGCTTTTGGTACTAATAATATTGCGACATCTCCAGCTCCAGCCTGCAATTGGATCCAGGACAAGGGGTTCTGGGCAGCTGTATATTTTCAGTTCTATCCCTGTTTACCCGGAGCGTTCGTTGATGCCTCACAAATAAAGTGGTTGTATGACAGAAAGGTTCACCGTCTTTTGGAAATACCTCAACAAGCTGAATGCCAGCAACCAGGACGGGGCGGGCAAAACGCATCTGCACAGGTTCCATATACTCCGCCTACATGGCCCTGTACGAACCCATGCAGTAATCCGGTGATTCGTCAAAACAGTTCTAGAACAAAAACACATGTTGAATGGTTCTTCAGTGTGGCAATTGCGTTGGTTTGAATTGAACTCAAAATGTTGAGGCCATCGTAGAATGGATGCAACATGTGGGCTTTCGCAATCTAAGGTTCCAATGTTCGAAGTTGCGCATCGACAGTACTACGTACCTCTGGCAATTACGGGAAGGAAGGAAGGAGGGACCCGCCACGCACACCCACGCTGCCACGCACACCCACGCTGCCACGCACACCCACGCTGCCACGCACACCCACGCTGCCACGCACACCCCCTCAGCCACACCACACGCCAACGACCATGCACATCATCTAGCCGTTTCATCCCATCCGTAGACATCTAGGACACC